AACTGTTGTACATATGTCATTAACATTAATAAATCATTTACTTTCTCAGGGTGACCTTATAATTATGAAACGGTGCAAAAGCCGACACATCTTTCAAAAATTCGTAAAAAATTTGAGGTGAAGGATATTGCGACCAAAATTTGAATACGGAGGTACATTGTGACGAGGAATCTACCAGTGTTTGCCAAAAAATTCCATTCCGGCTGCTTTCTCCAGAATCGCAAAAATCTGGGGTGACCTTATAATTATGAAACGCACTGTATATGTCAGTTGTTCAATTCCACTCTATTGTTTTTTACTTGAGGCTTGTCTCTTATTTGAAGCTGAATTTATTTGGATGTCTGTCAGCGTTCATTTGATGCTGACGTATTCTGTAGACTAACGTTTCTGACCAGAAAGCGCCCCATATGGCATACTTGGAAGGCTTAGACTCGTCCTAGTTAGAAAGCTCGTGGAAAACAATTTCGTTTTTGTGAACTGTGCCTTTCACCTATAAACGCCTTTCAGGAAAATCGCTCTATTATGAGCGTGATAACACGGCAAAAAATTGTGATGGACAAAAGCAAAGAAAGCGGCCTCAGTGAATTTTACTAGCTGTTGCTTTACAAACACCAACCACCCTTTTGAAGGTTTATAGGAATAGATAGATTATGCAATCTAGCGCTTTGCTGGGAAGTTTAGGAGAGAAATGGGGGAGGAACGGCTGTCATTCGAAAAATCCTAATTCCATAACCATATGGCTCTTCGGTCGTGTAGTTATAGAATGAGGGGTTCTCAAACGACAAAGTCTCCAGAGTTGCTAAAGATAACAGATCCACAGAATCTCGCTGTCTGCAGAGGCTGTAAGAGATCGACGAAAGCAACTGTGAGCAAGGCGAAGAATACATGTTAGATAGCACCGAACTAGCAAAGGTGCAGGGTGGAGGTGTCGGAGGCGTTAAGGGCTCAGTTCACGATAACAGTGGTTCGTACGACTTCCTCCCAGAATTACCCAGTGGCCTGCAAGGTAGTAGCAAGGACGGTGTCGGAACGAAAAACTCAGTAGATGGGGCACATTATAAGCCCCACTGCCGGATTCGTTGACGTACGCGAGACCGATGATGTGTCAAACGAGTACAGGTTGCGGCCAGGAACCACAGCGCTGCAGGTTGCGACCAGGACCCACACGTTCGGCAGCTGTTCGCCGGTTGATGAGATGTCTTATTTTTATTCTGTCATTTTCTGTTATTATTTTTGCTTCTGTGCCATTTTTCTAGTTTTCTACCTCGAGAGGATGAAAAGATGGATTACTCTCGCTGTTACTAATGTTTTTGTTAACTTATGCTTATAAGTGGATGAATTTTGAGGGGCATTTGTGCTTCCTGTAGTCAGTTATTCTCACCAGTACCCACCCGTACGATGGCACACATTGTATAGCTCGTCCAAACACCTCTTCTACTTTATTATCCTGATCTTATTCTCGTTCAGCCCGTTTTCGAGGAATTTTTCGAAGCCTTTTATCACTTTTGAAATCACTTATCACTTTATTGTTGAGTTTATTGTTTTTCTGAACTCTTCACGAGGTTTGTAAACAAGCTTTATTAGGCTAACGTTTCGGCGATATCGCCTTCTTCAGAGCCCAAA